AGCAATGGCCTCCAACCTAGTAGCGATGGCCTCCAACCTACTAGCGAACAGAGTGATGCAGTGAAAGACTTCCCACTGATAATGAGCAGGGTGTGATTGCCAATGCGCATGCCGCCCTACAGTTCGTACACAAGGCTCCGAGGGTGGATTGGGGGATGCAGAGGGACTTACCCACGCCAGGAAGGACTACGACTAAAAACAAAGAACATAGCCAGTAAAAATATAGACAACATATATGGAACTCACATTATTCAGAACAGAGCTTCGTGAAAGGCATGTTGAGTGTTGCATTGAAGTGCTTCCATTAGCTGTTCCTCAAATGGTCTATTTTGCAATCCAATTTGGAACTGAGACCTTGAAGCTGCCCTTAGATCGTATTTTGGCTGGAAGCTCAGAGACTTCTGCGGCTCTTTCTGGTTGAGATGGTCATGTTGGGGGAGGCACGACTCCAAGGACATGAGTGCCCAATCCAAGCTTTTTTGCACTTCAATGCTTCAGTCCTTGCAATGTTTACCCATTGAGCTATATTCCAATCTGCGTTTCAAAGTCCTTCGGGTAGCGTGGTTGTGCTTCAACATTCTCGGATGGGCAGCAACTTCATGTGCAGGTTCAATCATACGAGCCCCTAGTAGCGTCCTTGCGTCCGCGAATGTCAGAACTGGTTTCCCTCATGTTCCGTGTTTGTTCTAAAAAGAGGACGTGGGGAATCCGACCATTTGACTTAGCTTTTCGATAGCTTGGACGTTCTCCCTCACTGGGAACCAGTCCAAAACAAGCAGAGGAGAGGACTTGGACTCCTTACCGCTTGCAAGTTCCGTGTTTGGAGCCGAAGAAAGGCTCCAAGACTTCGGAGTTCCAAAAGAACCTCATAGCGATGGCTTCCCCCTATTAATAGCGATGGCCTCCAACCTACTAGCGATGGCCTCGAACCTATATAATAGCAATGGCTTCCAACCTACTAGATCTAATACGTCAATGTCTCAAGTTTTGGCCAGCTGGAGGTCTTTGGTCGCAGCCTTGGCACTGGCCCGGCTGTGAACTTGGCATCCAGGCAGAGACGTTGAAGGACAAACTCTGAATCAAGGTTAAACAGCTGGGCGTATTCAAAATATCGAAACAGCTGATTGGAATTCTTAGAGATTCAAAACAAGACACATCAAGACACCAATGCATATCTCCCATTTTAGTAGCTGTTCTTGAGCCTGAAGGAAAGATCTGGACATGTCTTAGAAGACGGAAAGTCGTGTCGGAAAGTCGTGGACCGACTCGTCACAGATGGCGACAGGTTCACGCTGGCCGGCTTGGTCTTGGTGACGCCCTTCATGAGCGTCAAAGAGGTCCTGAGGAGCCGAGCCGGAGACCCCAGCTGAGATGGATGAAGTACTTGTAGTGCCAAGAAAGAAGAAACAAGACAACCGAGATGCACAAGGAGAAGGTAAGGGCCTCTTTCACCTTTTTTTCTTTGTTTTTTCTTGTTTCTGGAGTCTAATAATCTAATATGTAGACTGTACGACTTTCTAAGACACGTGGACTTGTTTCGACCATTAAAGGTCTCAGGCTTTTTGTATATTGCACTTCGTTGGGCAGATGCCGTAAACCGGAAAGCTTTGAAGTGTTTGTCAACAACAGTGAGGTAAAAAGACGATGCTCGATTTGCCCTTCTTTGGTTTGATTCTGCGTGCCAGATTGGGAGCCTCGCAGATCTGCTCAAGGATGACTTCTTTGAGAACCATGTGGCCATTCGAGAGGTCTGGAATGGAGGTTTCTTTAGACTTTTCCCGCTTCATTCTCCAACTCTGAACAGTTCGCTCACTTCCGAGATTTACAAATCAGCGAAAATCAAGGTGAACTCGCCTACGTTGGTCATTCATGGCAAGTTGGACGATATCATTCCTGTGGCCCATGGAGAAGTCCAAGACTAAGCTGACAGAGACGGAAGCTAACTTACACTATCCACGACATCATTTTGGAAGCTCTCAGATTGTCACTGCATTAGAATTGGACGGTGTAAGAATACACCAAGAAATCTGGTATTTCAAAGGCTTTGGATTACTGCTTGCAGCCAACATTCATGGATACATAGTTCAAACATGTTTCAACGATCGGTTGAGACGGCCGTTTGGCTTTCTTTTCAATGTTGGTCGAGGCTTTCTTCATTCGTCCTTTTCAAATCATCACCCTTTGCGGTGAATCCGCCATGTGGATGTGGTGTTTTCAAGACTCTGGCTCGAAAGTTGCTGGCCAAAGTGCAGCAAACAGCACCAAGCAAATCTGTAAAAAGTACAAGCAAATCCGACCAAGCAAAGTGAGCTCTGAAAGGCAATTTTTCTTTTTATGTAACCAAGCTGTTGCTTCTGTTTTGAGCCTCAGCTTTCCACTACGGTAGAACTTGAAATTTGTTACATTCCAATTTCTGGCCTGCTGCAATGGCGTGCCTTGCTTGCATAGATGGAGAGGCAGCTACACTCTCCATGCCTCAGAACCAGCTAGATGTGTATTTACAGATATGGTTTTGGGTCACGCGCAATGATTTCCATCCTACATGCCCTCCCTAGGCACGTGCAGATACCATACATGGCGAGCCGGCAAGAGCTCCATGAGGTCGCCGGACTGCAAGAAAAGCGCCTGGAATAAACAACCTTGACCAGCTAGGAAGCAACCAAACCCGCAAGCCGCCATAAGCCACTCTCGCTCAAGTCTTTTCTCCAAATCGTTTGGTTCGATTGAAAGGAATCTTGAACAGCTGACAGGGAAACTAGTCACTAGTCTGCAAAAGCACCAGAGTGTGTAGAATGATTCTCTTTGACTCCCACCTTCTTTCTCCTTTGACTGTTGGCTTTGTCAAAGGCGGCCAATATTGCCAGAAAGTCTTCACCGTCCAATCAGGACAGTTGCGCTGTGTTTGGACATTTTGTGGTCCTTACAGTAGGTAAAGTACCCTTATATGATCTTACATATACATCCCTTATATCGATTGCTTTTTCACTTGCATAATTAGACTAGACTAGACAGTTCAGAAGAAATGAAGGGACAGTTGCACAAGTCTCAAAGCAAACAACAGTGCTGAAAAGACGGGCGCTTCTGCTTGCTGGGTCTGGTGCAAGAAAACCTTCTTTGCGGTAAAAGGATAGCTCTACGAGCCTGCCGAAACAACTGGAGGAGACTGCTCATGAATTCACGTGAATTACACAGAAGTCTTCGGAAATGGGCAAGACTCAGGATGGTACTTTGAAACAGTGTCTTAAAGAAGGTGTTCCAAATCATGTCAATCATCCTTCAAATGCCTCGAAGTCACTCAACCACACTGACCTCGAAAATGTGCCGCCTGATGTTGTGCCAGTTGCGTTTGCAAGATGAACGTGGCCTTTGGACAGTTGCACTGGAGCAGTCTGAGGCTCGCACCATGGAACGTGTGTGTCAGTGGAAAAGCCGGTTAGAATTGGCTCAAGTGGGCTGATATTGGCTGCTTGCCAAAAGTTTGTGTTTGCCACTTTCAACGCAAACTGCGCCAGGCCGAAACTGCCCGGGCACTGCGGTCTTTGCCGTGGCCTGAGCACCGTGCACAGCCGTGGCGTCGCAATGGAGTGAGAATGCTTCCAAGGTCCGATCACCTGCAGAGACAGGCGCATGTAAGACGTGTTTCTTTAGAAAGACAAGACACATCACAAGACCAAAGGATTGAGTAACTGAGTAACTCACCTCACAGCAATCACTTTGCCTTGTTTTATTTGGTTTCACGAGAGAGAAGCAATTCTGATCGTGTAGGTTCTTGATGCAGCGGATATTGCGGTGAGGCGAAGATCAAAGCTCACAATTTCTTGAAACCTGATATGATAAGAACAAGATGAGATGGGCTAGCTAGCTGTGAGAGAATGAAGAGGGATAGCAGGAGAGTACGGAGCAACCTTTGTTGGGTAGTAGCGCAGAGGAACTCGTGGAGAAGGTGCGTGCATCCAGTCATCCAGCGTGTGAAGCAAGACAGAAAATCTACGTGCTGACGCCATCAGGCTTAATGCCCGGGAACAGCTTCTTCAAAGAAGATCGCTGTCCTGAATCACTTAAACTTACATGCTGTTTCAAGCACACCAAAATAGCGAGCGTTTTGATCTCTTTGCATCCCATTTGCACCTTTTGTGCAAGGCCACTTGTGAATGAATTACTGTACTGTGTTTCCGTTTACGACAGCAATTCACTGGACAACACCCGCATTCAAACGCTTTTGCCATGTGCTATGGGGGCAGATGAGTCGGGAACAATCAAGAGGCGTGTCCAGCACCGATTGCATCACGCTTTTCGTTTCGCTGTTGGTTTCAGCTTCGCATCAGACCCAGTTCAAAATTGCATTTCAGTCCATGCTGGGCTGTGAAATGTTGTTACTTGTTTGAAGAGAAGGCATTCCTTCTACAAAGACAATATAAAGGGGGAACAGGTCTGAGGACTTCACTATGGGACTGCAGGGAGCGCGCAACCCACGTTATACTGTTATACTGTAGCTGCATCGGTTTAGCCTCAGTATGTTTGCTCACAATTTTTTGAAGTTTTTTTCCGCAGAACAAAGGCACACCATCAGTTTGCCCGCTTTGCATCATCTGACTATTCATTTTGAAAGCATCAGTTTCGCTTCCAGTGGTATCGGTAACGTCCACCTTGTATCCACTACTTGTGGAGATGCGTTGGGCAGATGTGCTCACTGAATTTGTTGCTTTGGGCAGCCTCCAGCTTTTGCCACAGAACTTGCCTCCCTTTTCAGGGCCCGCCAGCAAGCCTTGCTGCGACGACAAGTGGCTGAGAGTACCATTGCTTCGCATGGCGGCAACCGTCGCAACTCGGACACGAAAGCATTCGATGCATGCCCTGTTCGTGGGATTCATGATAGATTCTTAAAGATTGGATATGGTCACTACTAGTAACAAGTGCATCGCTACTAGTAACAAAGGCATTACTTCTAGTAGCTAGAAGCTACTAATTATATCGTAACAAGGGCATTACTACTAGGAACCTTAAAGATTGGAGTATTTGTTTCACGTAAGTATTTGCGCTCCACAGATGAGGAGGGTCCTAGAGCTGGCAGCTAGATTGCGCTGAAACATTGACAACCAGTAGTAGGCCCAGTGAGTGGGCCCTGGTGAACTAGCAGACTGGCCACGGGCACACACCAGAGCTGCTGATGAACATGATTTGCGATGTGATCCTGTGGCCTCGCGGTCTCACTAAGGCATGATGACGGTGCTGAGTCCCCGCGCAGCTACTTGTCACCAAAGTCATGGTTAATTTAGAAGTTGCCAAGCAGGTACAGCTTCAGCTTCCTGCTAGGACTAGTGCATGCATTCTCAGTAGCTCAGCACCCAAAGTACTGACCTTCATTCCAAACCAAGGAGTCTCATGAGCGTCGGTCACATCAGCTTGCCTAGTTTCCAAGAGTTCCCTTGTGACAGCAAAAGTCTAAGGCGGCCTCCTTCAAAATTCTGGAAGAGCACGTGGGTGTTCCATGGCTTCACTTGGAAACACTTTCGCGCTTCTCAATTTGTACTCGGCATGGACTGCGGATGGCGGCAGATGAGCGACGAGTGACTATTGCTAGGGCATGCTAGTGGGACTATGCCACCATGCAACCCACAGGAGTCATTTCTTTCGTTGCAGTTGCATGAAGATGCGGATTCGATGCTGAAAAGAAACCGTTCTTTTAGGTGTCGTCTGTTGACTGCTTAATGCATTAGCCATGTAACAGTTTTGCTGAGTGTGTAAGAACATGTAAAAACAAAACACATTGTGCAAAGAGCTCACCCGTATTGCGCGTCAGTGCCAAATCATGTGATGAGTCTCGGCAACAAAGGCAAAGACAGAAAGGCAACATCGACCGAATCCAGAGGCAGTCTGCTGAGTTGCCTCGATGCCTATAGCAGTTTAAAGATTGCCTGACATTCCCGGTTGGAGGCCATTGCTATTAGGTTGGAGGCCAGCGCTAGTAGGTTGGAGGCCGTCGCCATTAGGCTGGTGGCAACGCTAGTTGAGAGATGGAGCAGTGACGACATTGTGCAAGACATGTTGTTTGCCGCTTTCAATCATGTCAATCCGTCAGTTTCAAAGGTGGTACTGCATCCTTCTGGGCCGCTGCCCGGCTGAGATTCTTGAGTCAGCAACATATTTTGGATTATTGATGATTATTGATTATTGTATCCACCGGATTTTGTGCATCTAATGGCTCTCCTAAAATTGGCTATGTGGAATGGGTACGACAACTTGGGGTGTTGTTTTTTAGTATAGGCACCTACAACCAATCAAGGATGGATATATATATAGTCATCATCATGGTCGTCACGTCCTCCCCTATTGAATGGGACCAGGATACCCCAAGCAAACCACTGGTACTGGTAGACTTGGCGATTGTTCCAAAGTTGCTGCTCTTGCAGGCCTGTGTTGTGAGTCTGTGGCAGCTGAGGCTCTCAGCCCGTGGTCACGAGGTGGTTCGGAGCAAGCCAGTTCGGACTGAAAAGGCGCATACTGAAACGGGTGGTGGACAAAATATGAAAAAATAAGGATTACAGCAATGATGCAAATACTCCAACCTACTATACTATACTAGCGATGGCCTCCAAGCCAATAGCAATGGCCTCCAACCTAATAGCGATGGCATCCAATAGAAAAGCGATGGGAACAGTGGAACCATGGTGAGCCACAATGAAAAAGTGTGGACGATTCTTGCGAATACAATTTGTCAAGTGCTAGGCCAGGCCATCCTACACATTCCTGTTGATGGACTAAACCTGCACCACCCAAGACACCCTATATAAAGGTGGTAGATTTGCAGTTCATACAATTTGGAATGGTGGATACCCGTTTGTTCAAATGTGGTGCAGTATGTGCATCATTTTTTTTGCTTGATGCGCAGGTCGAATCTGCCTTACCACCG